CCCTTCTCTGTTTGTTAGTTAACCAAAACCACTCCTAAAACATTTATTCCCTTTTTTTTTAAAAATAGCTTTCTTGAGCTATAACTCACATACAATTCAGTGATTTTTGGTATATTCACAGGGTTATGCAACCATTACTATAATGTGATTTCAGAACATTTTTGTCCCCATAACCATTAGTCTTTCCCCTTCACTTCACCTCCCAACTCCTGGCTACCACTAATCTTCTTTCTATCTTTATAAATTTCTGCATTCTGGATGTTTCATGTGGATGGAGTCATACAATATGTGGCCTTTTGTCACTGGCTTTTTTCACTTAGCCTCATGGTTCCAAGTTTCATCCATGTTGTAGCAAGAGTCAGTCCTTCCTTCCCCTCTGTCGCCGATAACACCCAGCCGTATAGATTACCACATTTCATCTAACCCCTCATCAGTTGAGGGGCATTTGGGTTGTTTCCACTTTTTGACTATTACAAATAAGGCTGCTATGAACATTCATGTGCGAGTTTTTGTGTGGACATGTTTTTGTTTCTCTTGGATACATACCTAGGAGTGGGAATTGTGGGGTCATATGGTAATTCTATGTTTAACCTTTGGAAGGGCTGTCAGACTGTTTTCTGAAGCAGCTGCCCCATTTTATACGCTCACAGCCATGTATGACGTTTCCAATTTCCCCACATCCTCACCCACACTTACTGTCGTCCCTCTTTTTGCTTATAGCCATCTTTGGTAGGTGTGCTAAAATATTTATTCTTAAGGTTTATAGCACTTTCAATACAGCAGCTGAATTTGGTCTGTCGATGTGGTTCTTGAGATCAACACCTCTAACAGTGATATTTTTTGAATTTAGATCATCGTTTTATATAAAGTTTTACTAATAAATTTTCCCCTCCCCAGGTATACCATTATTTTACTAGGCAGAGAACAGGCATCTTATTAAGAAAAGGTCTGCTATCTCTTCCTTATTCACCAGTGAAATATTCCAATTCTAGAGATATTATTGGTAATACATCAGCTTCGGGACTGTTTTCTCTGCCTCGGCCCTCAGTGCAGCCCACAGCTGAAGCCACTGTGTGTCCATCTGCAAGCCACATTCAGACAAAACTCAGACTGGGGGCATAAGTACTGAAGCACTCTGGACCAGGTTCCCCTTCTCTGCACACTGACAAATACAACACCACCTCTCTGCCCTCCACCTGTGGTCTTGCTTTGTGCCTATCCTGTACCACCCTTTCAAGTTAGATAAGGTATCACTAGTCCTAAGTAAGAGTTGGGGAAACGGAGCACAGACCTTAGGGGCTATCCAGAAGTCCCTGCGTGGGGGATTGGGAGGCTTGGAACTCAGTGTCCTAGTTTGTAGTCCAGACTTCACAAACCTGTCTCTTCTTTTCCTGAATTCCTCTCTCCTTTATTTTCAGCACACTTGGGGGGGGAAAAAAAAGGTTTTAAGTATGTATGATCCATAGTATGGTTGACCTCCTCAGACAATTTGGTTTATTGTTTCTGCTCCTTTCAGAACCTGGCCCTTTTTGAGAAGGAGAGAGAAGAGAATTCACATAGCTTGACTTTAGAACTCATTGCATTGGGGAGGAATCAGTATCCTTCAGCCAAAGACTTAACAGCCCCATCTGCATTTTATATTTTTTTTACATTAGTGTTAAGTTTCAAAGGCCTGTTAGAAGCAACCTTTGGGTAGACATTCTTGCAGTTTTCTGTGATAAATTGTTATTTGTCTTGCCATAGTTCACTGTATCCAACAAGGAATAACCTTGGCCTAGTTGGAAACTGCTAAATGCTAAAAAATGTATGTGTTTGTCTAAATTCGAGATCCCCTCCAGCCCCTCAACCCCATCTTCCCCTCTTTAAGTTATAGGAATGAGATGCAATTGGCATCTATCCTCAACTTAGTATCCTAACATTTACTTACTACTTATTATTCTATTTTCCTGCCTTCTGATTTAGAGAGACCCAAATGCTTATCTCCAAAGATGGAAGAGGAAGATTAAAACAATAATTTGCAGTAAGTACTCTTTCAGCTGTTAATTCATTTATTCAACAGCCTTTATTTAGTGCTTGCTAGATACCAGGCACCCTGCTGGGTGCTTGGGATACAAAGATAAGCTAGGGTTGCTGCCTTTCAGGGATGCAGTGCCATAGGACAAGCAGACACATAACTGGATAAGTACACTTGTGAGCACGGTAATTAATGTACAGAATATTATGGAATCACAGAAGAGAAGCATTTCACCTATCCTAGAGGAGATCGAGGCAGGCTTCAGGATGGGTGTAAACTATGTTAATGAAAATCTATAATTCAGTTAGCTAAATCAGGTAGGGAGAGAATGTTCAGGCTTTTTGAATTAGTTATCTCTGTAATTTAGAATAAAATACCCAATAACTCTAAAGTAAAATACATGCCAATTTCTGGCCAACGACTCATGTTGAAGAAGGAAGGGGTCTAACATCATGAATACATGAACATCAAGGTTGCAGAACTAGAGCTAGAAGTTTGTAAGTTTTATTTAAAAGTTTCCCTCCTTTTTATGCTTTTCCCTGCCTAAATCACGGAAAAACAAATATGAGAAATGCTGTGCCTATAAGTGGAGCTTTTTATTTTCTTCTCTCCGACATGGCCTCTGTTATACTTGGGAATGTATAAAGGCCTGGATGAAAATTAGTGTTGTTTGAGTCTAGGATTTAAAAAAAAAACAAAACTTAATTAGATTTGCAACCACTGCCCTCATATAAAATTAAAATAATCAAGAAAAACTCGAGTTTAATTGCACTTGATGTTTTCCTAAGTCATGGGTTTGAAGGGATCAGCATGACGTAATTTGAAACCTTTGAAAAAAAGTTTAATCTTTACAACAACCCTGTGATCACTTCCATTTTATAGCTGAGAGACTTGAAGCACAAAGTGGTTAAAAAACCTAAGATTATACCGCTAAGTAGCAGAGCTGGGATTTGAACTCAGGTCTATTTAAATCTAGTGCCTATTACTCACCATACCATTCTGCTTAAATAGAAACCTGTGTGGGTCCATTGCTTTCCCATGGATCTGTGACCGTGAATTTAGCCTGGTAGGAGTAAGCTGTTATAGAAAACTGGTAAAAGTGTGTGGTTGGGACAGTGCAAATCCAACATTGCTCCTGAAAAATATTGATGGTGCTGTCTTCAAATAATAGTCAAATTTCTATATTGTGGATGCCATTTAAAATGTCAAAAATTTTTACGAATATTTTGCAATATAGGCACTGAGACTGTAAAGCAGAATTAAAGTAAATGTCTAGATTTGAATAGAGCACAAAATTTGATTCATAGAGAAAGTAGACAAGAGTAAATATGTGTGAAAATAACAATATAAAAGTTACCTTTAGATGTTTACTTTTTAAATACTGCATGTACATTATACTAGTTTATATATTCTTTAATATTATACTCATTTTCACATGCAGGTATCGTGTACTATCCGTTCAACGAGGCTATAATCCCTGAGACCAGTCATGTATTTTTTTAAAAAAGGAGTAAGCATTAAAACCATTGGTCAGGAAAGGTTATCTAAGCCTATTCTCAAACAGCCTAATAAATGGGAGCAAATACATTTGGTTATGGATGCTTTGAGTGGATATAATAAATGAAATTAACATAATAAAATGGTTTATTTTAACTTTGATCTATTACACTGGGAGAAATTGGCTGGTGGATTTAGAAGGGTATAAACACACCATTAGAGAGTGAAAAAGGGGAAGTCTGTTATAACTGAATAGGGGTGTGGTCTGCTTAGGCTAAGGAGGAATAGATAATAGTTTCATAAAAGACTGATAGAGCTATAGTCTTCAGAACTGGCCATTATAGCTAGTACCTTTTCTTTTCAGACATAATGTCTATTAATACCAGCCAGCTTGGTGAGTTAGAGAAACCACAGCCTGTGGATTTGGGCATATGCACTCTCTGCCTGCATCTAATCCTCCGGGTAACAATATACCTACAACTGCTGTAATCCTAGAGCAGTTACATGGATGCACTAAGTGGTGTGATGGGAGGGAAAGATAGCATCACAAGGATTCGTTTGATTATAACAGTAATCCACACCCAGTCAAATAAAATAGCCAAACAGTTAAAAATGTGGTCTCTAATGAACTTGCTAATTCTAGCAGGCCCTCACAAACATTTCCTGCTAGAGTACCCCATATCGAGACGAAGTAGCTGTGCTTTAATTACATGGAATAATTATTTGATTTCCAGGAAGTTAAGACAGTGCTTTGTATTTAAATAAAAAGTTCTAGACATGCTGTGAAACTCGATCAAACCAAGAAAAAGAGTGAAACTGAATGCCTGTACAGTGAGTCAAGATTTCAGCTGCTCAGCAAGCTTGACGTTACAGCTTATGAACCCAGAAAAGGGGTATTTTAAAACCGGCTGACTGGATCATGTCACTTTGTTATAGGAAAAGCCCTGCCTTTCCAGAGATCTAAAGTGTAATGCAACCATATGCTGTTGAGGGGCTCGAATCTTGGCTGCCTTCGCTCCTCTGCACTAGCCGATACCCCAATTTTCAGGGGACGTGATCTCATACTGTCGCCCTCACTTTTGAAGGTCTGTTAAAATTCTGGGGCCTCTTATCTCAGTGGCTTTGGAAGTGAGTTTGGGGTAAGAAGGGGGGGGGAGGCCTGTGAGTGTCTCTTTTGCCTGAGGAGTTGGAGACACTTGTGGAAAAGTCAGGCCCTTTTCGCTCCGGCGGCCGCTCCGGTGTGGGGCTGGCTTGGGTTAGACACATGCACACATACACCATAGAGCTCTGCTTTCCCGTAGCAGCTGCTGCCTCTGCCTCTGCCTCTCCCGCCTCAGCCTCTTTGCCCGGCATACACACACATTCAGATTTGCGCGCTGTTTCAATCCTTGATGACGTGTCCCCGGAGACAGCCAATAGCAAACGGGCTCTGGTCAGGACAATGGGAGGTATCGGGCCAATGAGCGGGCCCCGTGAGTTGGCGGTAGCCAATAGGAGCCGCGCTGGCTGGAGAGTAATGTTACAGAGCGGAGAGAGTGAGGAGGCTGCGTCTGGCTCCCGCTCTCACAGCCATTGCAGTACATTGAGCTCCATAGAGACAGCGCCGGGGCAAGTGAGAGCCAGACGGGCACTGGGCGACTCTGTGCCTCGCTGAGGGTGAGTCTGGGGCAGCGCCGCGGCGGGGAGAGCGCCTCCGGCAGCTCTCCACCCCGCGCGGTGGCCGGATCCCCGCGGCCGGGAGCCGGCGGGTCAGGATCCACACAAAGGCAAATGAGGGGGGACCGTGGGGGGAACTGCGCACGGAGCGAGCCTCTGCTCGGGCGCCGGGAGCCCTGCCCCGCGCCGGAACCCCGGCCCACAGGCTGCCTGAGGCGCTGCGAACCCCGAGCCCCGCGAGTTTCCACCCCCGGCGGCGTCCGCGCTGACTGGCGCAAAAAAAATTTTTTTTAATTAAAAAAAATTTTTTAACGTGTTTTCGGCCCCCGGGCCGAGTGTTCGGGCTGCCGGCGTGCGCGGGGGGCGGCGGGCGGCGGGGCCGGCGGCGGGAGGGCAGGCGGGCGGGCAGGCGGCGGCGCTTCCACGGGCTGCATTGGCCGCCGCAGAGAGCCGGGCGCCGGCGGCGAGCGAGCGCGGG